CAAACATCTCTAAGCCTCAGTTTCCTCAGATGAAAACAGACCCAACCGCAGTGCCTCCTACAGGGAGCAGTGCTGCAGGCCAAGGGACTGACCCCAGTGAGGCACCTGGGCCACAATGAGGGTGGCTCTCACTAGCAATGGGAGGCCAGATCCAGTGTGGAGTCCTGTGCTGCACACCTACTATGTGCCAAGTCTCAGGATCACCCGATCAGGAAGGCACTTGGTGTCCATTTTGCAGAATTAAGTTCCATGCTTTAACCAAGGTCAGAGCTGTGCGCTGCAGCAGATCTGAGGCAGGGGCCCGGGCCTCTAGGCCATTGCCCGCGGAGCTTGGGCATTACCTCAATGCTCTGCACACTGGGTTCCCTGGGCACAAGGGGCTCCCAGGTTGCCAAGGTATAAGATTAGGGTAGAAAAAGGAGGAGGTTCTTGAAGGAGAATCTGGACACAGATTCCAGCTCAACCAGAGACAGGGCCAGAGGGAGGAACGGGGAGACTGAGCAAGTGGACAGCCTCATGTCACAGGGGTAATGGGACAGAGAGGGGACAGAAAGACAGGAAGATGAAATGCTCCTGCTGGCCTCCTCCCCATCTTGGCAGGTCCTGCCTGTGGCCCCATAGTCTTCTCTCAGGGGGCACCTCAGGTGGACCACATGTGGGTCAGACCATGCACTTGGACCTTAAAGCTGCCAGGGTCCCCTGTCCCACCTCAGGTCAATCCTGGCACCTAACTGCCCAGGACCTAGGCACACCCATGTTGAGGAGACTTAAGATTAAAGACATCCCCACCAAAGGGACAAGTGCATGGGGGTGTGGCAACATGTGGCCAGATGCAGATTTCAGTATCAGGAAATCTCACTTTGAGGCCTAATAGCTCTGAGAACTACCAGGGGCAAAATCATTGCTCTGAGCCTTTGTTTTCTCATCTATAAAATGGGGACAATAATGACAATGTAGTACTTGCTCTCTAGGCAAGGGTTATGGTTTAACTGTGAGGGTTAAACGTATACAGTACTAAATATAAGCCCCTTGACATGTTATAAAGTCTCAACAATTGATAGTAAAACCTTGAAAGCATTACCTTTGGGGCAGGAGTGGCCTAAGTGACCCGGTAAGGGAGCCTGACTGTTCCTTAACAGAATATCACATAGCCTCTGTGATAATCTCTTCATCTATGAAGTGGGCTAACACTTAGCCTCACCTGCCTGCCTCACAGGGCAGGAGAAACATCTGATAAATATCTGACAACATCAGATACTGGCCTAATCAAGGTGACACCCCCTCCAGGAAAGATGCCCAGATCTTTGGGCATCCCAGGAACATCTCTGGCATTCCCTGGGGTCCTCCCCGTGGCCAGGGGTCCACCCTTGACTGGGGCCCATTCCCTAGCCACTTCAGGGCTTCTACACCCCCTGCTGGTCTGGGGGCCAGGACCCAGGGTGATGTTGGGGAGTGTGGGGGGTTATTCCCATATGAGGGTCTGAAAGGAAAGACTGCTCCCTGGGATATCAAGGACCTATCTACTGGGTGGCTGGGCCAGCCACAAACACAAGGCATGTCCCTGGGCCATTTTCAGACCAATAATAACTGTGATGGTGATGAACTGACATGCACCAAACCTCAGGTGTGTGCTAAGCGCTTTATAAGTACAATCATCTCACCCTCCTATCGCCTATGGGGTTAGCACCATTCTTAGATTACCTGTTTACATATGAGGAAACAGACTCAGAGAGGAGAGTAACTTACCCAAAGCCACACAGCTAGAGGGGGTAGGCCAGTTTGGGGTCCAGGTCTGGCTGTCCCCTGAGTCCTGCCACCTTCTCACCTAGGCTAACTTCAGAGGAGGTGAGAGGAGCATGCACTGTGGGATAAGGGGTACCATCTTGTCATAACATGGGTACAGACGTTGGGGACCAGGCAAAGCCTCAGGAGAATTTGCCCAAGTGGCTCTGTATGAACTCTGGCCAGCTCCTCCCCTCTAGGCCTCAGTTAGCTCATCTGTGAAAATGGGAGGGTTGGGCCACATACCCAGGAGGTCACTCCTGCCTGTTATTCATTCCACCACCCTCACCTCCATCAAATCAGTAACCTCGTTTATGATATTAACTTCACATCAGCCTAACCAAAGTTTCCTAACCCAGGATCCCTGGACCTCTGGGAACTCTGTGCCTCCTATGAGTAAAATTGAATAGGAGTGTATGTGTGCTCACTGTGTGCCTTTCAGGAAAAGCCCATGTTGTTAGCCAGGCATGGTGGCACATGCCTGTAATCCCAGCAACTTGGAAGGCAGAGGCAGGAGGATCACAAGTTCAAAGCCAGCCTTAGCAAATTAGCGTGGTCCTAAACAACTTGTCAAGACCCTGTCTCAAATAATAAACAAACAAACAAACAAGGGCTCAGTGGTTAAGCGCCCCTAGGTTCAATCCCCTATACAAAAAAAAAAAAAAAAAAAAAAATTCATGCTGTTACTGGATTCCAATACCAAAAGGCTAAGAACCACTGAGTTTTGTAAACCTTTAGAGTTTCTCTATCCTCAAGCTAGATTTTTAGAGGAATGAGCCAAGGCAGTTGACTCCCAACTCAAGCAAGTTGAGTGTAAAATGCTTCCCTTTTCTTGTGTTTAAAGTCCCCTCCTTCTTCTGGAGCTGGACCTGCTACAGGTGCCCCAGGCTTCCTCCCTCCAGCCACATTGGCCCATTGAGACCCTTGTCCCCACTGCTGCTGGTCAATCTTTGCCTGGATGCTGAATTTCGTTCTGCTCTGACTGGTCCTGCCCGAGGAGACTTCTTCACCCTCCAGTCTTCCCCTGGATGGCCATGGGGAGGACCCGAAGGTAGGTGCAGTGACAAGAATGGCCAGCAGGGGTCGCAAAGCAGCCGCACTCCATGGGCCAGGGAATGGGGTGCCAGGATGGCACCTCCTTGGTTCCCTGGGCAGCGTAGGCATGAGGAATGTGTGGCAGCAGTGGGGAGGCTTAGGGTCTGGGTCTGTCCCTTGCCCACTGTAAAGTGGAGAGAGGTGGCCTAGAACCCTTGAATGGTTGCTAAGGGGAAGTGACTGCCTTGAGCTCCCCTTGGCAGAAGCATCCTTAGGAAATGGTACAGATGATCCCAGACTTGACGGGGAAAGCAGAGCCCACTATCCACCCAGTAAAGGGGAAGACTTGCCCTTGGGAAGTCTCCAAGGGCTCTGAGCAGTCACCATGAGAGCTCCTTGGGGTGGTGAGGGAAATGTAGTCCCTGCAAGAGGCTTCCCAGGGGTGAGAGGGCCCAGCGCCTCCCCAGGTAAGGCTTCTCTGGAAGAGCTGGGAAGAGGGACCACGCATTCCTCAGTCCCGGAATGAGTCCTGCCCCCCCCCCCCCCCCCCCCCCCGCTCAGCTGCTGAGGGACCCTGCTGGCCCAGATCTCCACCCTCTCTGTTCCATGAGGCTCCTGCTTCTGGGCCCTGCTAGCATGGCAGGGCAAAGTCTGGGGCGTCAGGAGGTGCTCCTGCTGAGATGCCCTGGTGGGGAGCCCTCTGCCCACGAAGAGGACCCAGTCCTCACAGGCCCAGGGAGACCCTCCCCCTCTCCTCACCCTGTCCCTCTCCCATGACCCAGTGATTAAAGAAGTAGACACAAGTACGACAAAGATATAGAACTTTCTCTACAAAAGTTATAATGAGTCCGAGGGAAGGGTCTGTGTTTGGTGGTGGGAATCGGAGCCTGGCCCACCTCAGCGCAGGGGAACTGGGAGGGGCTGAGGCAGTAAACGGACAGGGATCAAGTGAGGAAGGCAGCACCTGGGGCTCAGAGAAAGACGAGTCGGCACTTGGGGTGGCCCCAGGCCCAGGCCCAGACAACAGGGAGAGGAGCCAGGGTGGGCTCAGGATGGTTGTGGCAGCCAGGTCCTCTGGGTCCTGCAGTGGGAAACGGCCACCTCCTTCACACCCCCAGCTCTGGGCACGTTCATGGATGGGATCACACACCAGATGGGTCTTTGGGGCCCTTTTCTCCTGCTCCAGTCAAGGAGGCCCTAGGAGGAGCTCCTAGCAGGGGCTGCTTCTCAAGCTGGGGACAGATAAGGCGTCCACTCCTGACAAGGGGGAAGGGTGAATCTGCATGGGGCATGGACACACGCACATTTGTGTGGCTCCTGAGGGACTCTCCCATACCTGTGACCTTGGTATGGCTGAAGAACTCTAAGGACACACTCTGAGGACCCTCTGTGCTGGCCTTTTCCCTGGTCTCACCGCCATCACAGAGCTGAGACCCATGGTGAGCTCTTGCTTCCTCACAATCCATGCAGAATCACAGAGATGCTCCCAGGCCTCCAGAGAAACCCACCGACCCTCAACACACACGCATGCGCGCACACACACATGCACACAGCCCTGGTGGCCTGGACACATCAACAGTTTAGATTATCCACATTCTCCAGTATCACCTTCACGGAACTTCTCCATGCTGGGCCTGACACCTGGCTGTGCCCAGCCCCTGCCTGTCTGGGCCCCTGGGAGACTCTGAGGCTGCTGGCAGATGCCATTCTCTAGCCGGTGTGTGCCTACCAGGACTGGGGGCCATACCCGCTGCTCCAGAACCTCACACCTAGCGTTCTGGCCCTCTGGGCCCCGGGGGCGGGGAGCGGGTATCAGGCTGCACAGCAGAGGAGAGGGAGGTTGGAGGAGGTCAGGCCCCAGCCACCTCAGCCTGGCTCTTCTGCTCCAGCCATAGCTAGTGGTGGAGGAGACCGGGCTGGCCGTTAGGGGACAAGGTGGGGACTGAAAGGCAGGGCATTTGGCTGAAGAGTGTGGCTGGGGAACCTCCCCTTGGGGTATATGGGGTGAGGGAGGCTGCCCAAACTTTTCCCTTCATAAAATAAATGTAGGAATCTGCGTCTTCGGCTTGAGAGAACAGGGCAGGTGCAGTAGGAAGGACAACATGGCTGAGACAGGTCACGTCCCCTCCTTGACCCCTTCCTCTCCAGCTCTGATGTTGTCTAGTCTCTGAGGGACAAGCAGACCCTGCTCTCCTTTGGGGGCTGGCCACAAATCCACATGTACTTCTCAAGGTCACTCAGATAAGGGCAGCTCTGGGGCTCTGGGACACTCAGCACTGGTGTTCAGGGGTGTTCTGTTGTCCCCAAGCCTGCCTCCAGGCCACACCCTTGCTTTGAGGTATGGACAGGCTTTCAAGGGAGATGACCCACATGGTCCTTGCTCCTCAGGAAGGGGCTACAGGGCTGGCAATTGTGAGGACCTTGTGGCCCCCCTGGGGTTGTGGCAACTTGCAATTCATTTTGGTCAGAGGAGAGGAGTCCCTGGTTATCTGTGGAGGAAGAGACAGAAATAAAACTTAGACAACAGCCTTCAAAGACCTCATCCCCAGCCAGAACTAATCACCTTGATGATTTAGCCTCCCTTCTCTAGACAGGCTAATGGTCAGGGATGAAGGACACTGTACTCCCCAGTCACCAAACTGTAAATCAGATTGCCTCCCCACACCCACTCCTGCACCAAACATTCAAGGCAAAGGTCACAATAACATGGGGGGAGCAAGTATTTTCAGGCTTGTGGGATGCTGTGGGGGAGGGGAGGGGCAGGGGCCCGTCTACAGGAGGACCAGTGTGGTGGCAGCCTTGGGCAGCTGTAATGGCTTTCTGAAAAGGACAACCCTGGGCTTGGGGTTGTGGCTCAGTGGTAGAGTGCTTGCCTAATATGCATAAGGCACTGGGTTCGATCCTCAGCACCACATAGATATAAAATAAAGATATTGTGTCCACCTAAGACTAAAAAACAAATATTAAAAGAAAAAGGACAACCCCGCTGCTGCTGGCCACTGGGAGCGTCTGCTCTTGCTTTCCTCTCTGCAGGCTGCAGACCTTGGGCAGTTGACCTTTCAGTGCTGCACCCTCTGTCCACATGGACCCAGGGGTTAAGCCAGCTCTTCATGGAGCAGTGGTGGCAGGTGTGAGTGAGCTATTTATCCCCTAACCCCTGAGCCTCCGCGTGCTCGACCCCCACCACACAAAGGGACTCAGGAATCAGTGAGGACTTGCCCAAGAGCACACTCCAGAAGCCCCGGAAGATGGGAGGGCTCAAAAACATCCTCACTGTGATTACTATGAGTACCCTGACTCATCGACAGGAAGATGCCCATTTTTCCACATTTTGATATCTCCAGAGTCTGGCTGTGATAAGAAAGTTTCGGGTCACCGTTAAATTGGCAGCAGCTTTTAGTGGTAAATAAAATAGTGGGGTCTCTTGTAATGGCAGCTCAGATTTTATGAAATACGGTGCGCTCTTCTCCCGTGAAAAGGCAGAGGGACTCTCCCTCCCCCCACCACCGCCCCACCGACACTCACAGCTCTGTGTCTTCTAGGGCTGGCGGGCGCTCCAGCGCCTGCCTCCGCCTCCGCACGGCCCCCAGGATCTTCTTGCGCGGCCCCAGCGGGACGCTGATGCTGCGGAGGTCGAGGTCAGAGCACAGCATTAGCGCCTCCAGATCGATCTTCTCTTGCCGCAGGAGGGCGGCAAAGTCCTCCATGTGCAGGGAGGCCAGGAAGGTCTCCAGCGGGCTCGTCTCCGGCTCCAGGTCCTCGTCCAGGCCCAAGTCCAGCTCGTCCCAGGGCAGCTCCTCCCCGCAGCTGCGGTCCTGCAGGCTGTTGGCACTGCCCAGGCTGTCATCGTCCAGGCTGGGGGAGCTATGCAGCCGACCCCGCGGGGTGCCTGCCCCGTCCAGACCCCCGTCCTCGCGGCCCAGCCCGTGCAGCCCGCTGCTCAAGTAGTTTCTGCGGAACACCATGGTGCCCAGGCCGGGGCGGGTAAACAGGGAATCGTGACCTGAGTCGGTGCTGACCTCCGAGTGGGCAGGCTCGGCCGCCAGCGTGGCACGGGAGACGCTGTCCTCGTCCGAGAGGAACATGTCCCGGAGCGGGGCGCGGCCCCACTCCTTGGGGTTGGCGTAGGTGCCCTGGCGCACGAACATCACGTCGCTACCTAGCTGCAGGCCTGAGAGTGAGCGGACGCTCTTGCGGCCGTCCTCGGAGACCTTGAAGGTGCCCTCGCCGCCCTGTTTGCGCCTCTCCAACTTCTTCTGGATCTTGGTCTTGCCTTTAGCGGTGCCGTGCAGTGTGGCCTGCGAGTAGGGCAGGTGGCTGCCCAGCGTCAGGTGCTGCAGCCGGCGGCTCAGGGTGCTGGACGTGAGGCTGGAGAAGCTGAGTGTGTCCGAGCGCTCCGCCAGCTCTCGCCGGTAGCGCCGCTCCATGCGCTCGTGGTGCTTGCGCTGCAGCTTGGCGCACTCCCGGATGCGCCGCTCGGCCTCACGAAAGGCCTTGTCCTTCAGCTTGCCCACCAGCTTGGGGTTGAGGCTGCTTTGCTTGGCCGCGATGGAGTCCAGATAGCGCACGCACTCCATGTGACCTTTCATGGCAGCCATGTCCAGCGGCGTGTGGTAGTCGTTGTCCAGGCACCAGATGTTGGCCCCAAAAGACACCAGGAAGGACAGGCAGTGCAGGTGGCCATTGGAAGCTGCCAGATGTAGGGGTGTGTTGCCCCAGATGTCACACTTGTCTGGGTCACCCCTGCAGGGAGATCACGAAGAATGATAAACCATAGAAAGCTCTGGCAGCCAGTTCGCTAGGGCTGGAGGTAGAGGGAATGGGGGGCCCAGGCCACGAGGGGAGGGCCCCCAGCCTCGTGGAGCTTCCCCACAGGTACACAAGGCCACAATGAAACCCGTGGGCCTGAGACCTCTCCACTGACTCCAAGAGACCTGCTGGCCTGAGCCACCAAAAGGATGAGCCCTAGGGGAAGATGGCCTGGCACGCAGGGGGCGGGGCGACAGAGAAGGCGGGGCTGGGGCGGGGCCTTCCCCAACCGAGGGCTGGGAATCTCAGGGGATAAATATTTGATGCCCAGAGAGAAAGGAGTGAATTATTCATGGGCCCAGCAGGGAGCTGGCCCAGAGAGGTGGTGGGCCAGGGCGAGTCTGGGTCTCTAGGCAGGTGCAACTGGGAACGTGGTTGCGTGTTGCAGGGCGACGGTGAAAGAGGACAAGAGGGTAATGTGTGCTTGGCCTGAGCCTGGGTGAGTGTGTGAGGGTGTGTGCTTGTGTGCAGAGAGTACTGCCATGTCTGCAGGGAGCAGGGCCAGGCCTGGCAACGTGAGTGTTAGAGAAGGTGTCGGGCCTTGGCCTGGGCCAGGAGGGGACTGTGGGGGCAGCCAGGACTGGGGAGGAGGAGGAGGAAGGTCTGCAGCCTGGCAGGTTTGTCCTCCCTTGTTCAGGCTGTCCATCTTTGGGAGCCGTGAGAGGCTGGCTGGCTTTGCCTGTGCAGGGACCCCAACAGCTCCTTCCAACACCCTCCATGTCAGACTATTCTCCCTGAGGCATCCTGTTGGCTCCTCCAGAATTTTTGCCTCTCTGGGGCCTAGCATGGGTCCCCTGGCCCACACTAATGAGGCCACGAGGTTACCCCTAGATCTGGAGGAAGAATCACTCCCTTGTCTCAACATCTCCCCTCACCCCCCCGCTCAGCTTCCCCACAGAGTGCCAAGTCCTGCAGGACAGCAGAGGAGGGGCTGCTGGGCATCAGACCCACGCTATCCAGCACCAGGCTTTCCCTCTGTAAGACTTGGGGGAGGTAGGCCTGCTTGCTCTCCGATCCCCTTCAAGAGACACCCAGGTGCCCCTCTGAAGGAGGGGCAATGGGCCGGTGTCCCTGTGTGCCCTCAGGGAGGGAGGAGGAGCCAGTAAGTTATGACTTAGAACATGCCTCAACTGCCTAATCCCAGGGACTCTTCCCCCTGCTGCTGGGCCCAAGGAACAGCCACAAAGGGATGGGGTCCCTCCGCCCACCACATGCTTGGGCCTCAGGCTTGTGCACAGAACCAGGACCAGCTCAGTACCCACCCCTCTCCCCCAGAGCCTAAGACATTCACATTAACCTTCCTAGGGCCATCCCTTATGCCCCTTTTCCTGCCCAGGCCACCCTGGTGTCTAGGCCAGTATGACTTCAACTTTCCCACTCACAACTCTTTAAAAGGAGTCATCAACTTTGGTGAATGGGGAAATTGTTCCCAGTTGTGGGATTTGGCACGCTGGCCCACCCCTGGCCAACCCACTTCAGTGGGTTTGACCTGCATTCCTGGGCCCTGCTACCTTGCCTGGTTGTGGCGTGCAGACTGTGTTCCCGCCCTCAGGACAACTCCAGAGGGAAGACGGGAGACAGAAGCCCCTCCAGGATCAACACATTCATTGGTCATCTGTGACCAGTGGGGGAAGGGTACAGAGCACATTAATGAGGTGGCTGAACCATTGACATTTGGTATTATGGACAGTGGCCATAAATCCCAAGAAGGAGCAGAGTGAGGGAGAGAGAAGGGTGAGACCCAGCCTGTGGGGAGCTGTGGGTGCTGGCTGGGAGAGCCCTTTGGCTCCCAGAATGGAGAGTGGGCAGCAAAGGCCCCCACTTTCCGGCCTTCTGAGCCTTAGTCTTCTCTCAGGTTCCCACATTCCCTCTCACCCTTGCTTCCAGAGGTTCCTGCCCAGCAGATCTCTCCCATCTTTCCCTCTGCAGCACCCTTCCAACAACCATGGGCCCTCAAATCCCAGTTCCTCCCCTCCTAGCCCTACATCCAGGTCACCAGTGTCACATGTCCCAGTTTATGCCCCCCCCCATGGGTATCTCCCCCACACATGCCAGGCTCCAATGTCCCAACTTAGAGCTGTCTGTCCATAGGGGAAAAGGGCAGCTCAGAGGAGTAGCCTTGGAGTCTGGGGAGGCGTCGGGCCTGGCCCGGACCAGGAGACTCTTCCCCTCCCCTGCCTGGTGGAGGGCTACTCACCCGCGGCTCACGATGAGGCGCAGCGACTCCAGGTTTCCGTGGTAGGCAGCCCAGAGGGTGGGAGTCATGCCATCTTCATCGGGGGCATTCAGCTCCTTCCGGGTGGCCTCCTTGAGGAGCTCCAGGTAGCCATCGCGGGCAGCCCGGTGGTACTGATCGTTCATGGCGCCCGGCTTGGACGGGGCGGGCAGGGGACACCGGGAAATGCCCCCCGCGGGGGAGGGCAGAGGGGTTAGGGTTGAGGCATGGGGTCAGGGGAGGGGGCCTGGCAGGGGCCAGGGCCACCAGCCCCCGCGGCCGCAGATGGAGGGTGCGGAACGCCAGAGCCGCTACCAGGACATCTGAGCCGCTCATCAGGGCGGCGGGCAGGGTGGGGGACCTCCCGCTGCCCAGGGAGCCGCCCCCGGGCTTCCCCTGGGTCCTAAACACCCTGCTTCTCAGCGCACAGGGGCAAACCACGTGAGGCCCTGACCTCACTCCAAAAGTGCCCACTGCAGTGCTCAGACCCATGAGGCCCAGTTTGGAGACAGTTTGGGGGTCCGTCTTCATCCATCTCCAGTGCTGCAGCTCCCGATTTCTCTACTCGTCAAAGGAAAGGGCAAAGGGCTAGGGAAGGTGAAGACGGGGTGAAGGTGCAGACCTTAACCCAGGACAGTGGGACTAAAGGGAATATGAGGACTCACTCGGCAAGACAGCTAGTAGGACGCGGCAGTCCTGGAAGCCATCCTTTGAGAGGGGCCGACCAGCCATCATCCAGCAGAGGGCGCTAGAGGACTGGAAGCAGAATACGCGCCGCGTGGGAACTTGGTACCCAAGCCCCAGACTTAGCATCCCGCGGAGCAGCGGAGCGGGGCAGCGATAGAGGAAGGAGGAACTTCGATCACTGTGTGGGCAGGTGGGGAAAAGGGGGCTGGTGCCCCGATCTCGGGCCGAAACCAAGATCAAAGGTATAAGATGCGCCTGGGCTAGGAGAGCGTCAAAGTGTCAACGACAGGCACTTGGGGCATGATGGGGGTTCTGGGTGGGCGCGATCGCTGCGCACCAGATCGCAGCGGACGTGGTGGGAGGGTTGTCCTCTGAGTGATTCAATGTGAGGCCGCGCCCGAGCCTGGCCGCGCCTGGGTGACAGGGTAGGGCAGTTCTTCGTAGGTAAATATAAATCTCATCTTATCTGGCTCCCGCGCTCTTCCCTAAATTCAGTTCGCAGAAAAGATGGATCATGTGAGTGGGTCTGAGAGGTTTATGGAGCTGAGCTCCCGCTGCTGTAAATCACCCTGTCCCCTCGGGTATAAAGCACCCGTCCGTCCCGGCGTGGGAGAAAGGAGACGCTGGCTGCCACCTGACCCCCAACGCCGTGCGGGCTCCTGGCCCAGTCAGGTGCGTGTCCTGGGCCAGTCAACTATGGGATTTTGGAAGTGGGGACCTTGAATGGAATCCAAACATTTACCGCTGCTTTTCTCTTTTCGGTGGAGCGGGTGAGGAGCAGGCTCCGATTTTTCTTACCCCCCCCCCGCCCCCCGCCTTGTCCAGCGCTCCAGCCCTCACCCTACCTGCTAGGAACTCACTGGCCTACAAATGTAGAGATAAGATGAGGAAAGGATAGCTCTCGGGGTTGACCTCGGGTCCTTTCACTCCTCCCTCGCAGTGACCCCTCCAACCTCCTGCAGTCGCCCCCACCATGTCGGAGGAACCGACCCCGGGCCCCAAGGAGATCCCGCCTGCGCCGCAGGCCGGCCCCCGCGAGGTGTGGAAGAAGGGCGGCCGCCTGCTCTCGGTGCTGCTGGCGGTGAACGTGCTGCTGCTCGCCTGCACGCTCATCAGTGGAGGTGCCTTCAACAAGGTGGCCGTGTACGACACCGACGTGTTTGCACTGCTCACCACCATGATGCTGCTGACCGTCCTCTGGATCCTCTTCTACCTCCTCCGCACTGTGCGTTGCCCTGACGCTGTGCCCTACCGGGACACGCATGCTGGCCCCATCTGGCTCCGAGGTGCGGAGAATGGCGGGGGGGAGGGGGGACAGAGGTGCGGTGGGCACAGCGGGGAGCTTTAGGCCAGGGCTCTTGGAGTACCTGCAGAGTGTTCGTTGACGTAGAGGGGGGAGAAGTTCCCTCCGGAAGACTGGATGTGGCTGAGGATGAGGTGAGCTATGACGGAAGAGGAGGGAGGGAAAGGGGACCTGAAGGAAGGATGAATAGAGGGATGGAGGGGGACTTCCTTGCCTTGTCTTAGGATTTGGAGAGAGGTGGACACGAGACAGTCCTTGATGGAGAGTAGGGGAAACAAGGCAGTGGTAGCTGAATGAGCTGGTCCAGGTCCCTTCCCTTTATCTCTGCAGTCTCACAATAGGACATCCACCCATCCACCTACTTAATCATGCACTCATCCTTTGTTCATTCATTCATTCATTCATTGCCCATTCACCAGTTCCCCCGACCATTCATCCATCCATCCACCCAAACATCCAACCACTGACTGCACCCACTGGCCTAGCTACCCAGGCTCTGGGCCTCTCCTCCACTCTAGAAGCCTTCTCTCCTGGCTCTCTGATCCACCACCACCACCACCCACTGTCCCTGATTTGCAGGTGGCCTGGTGCTGTTTGGAATCTGCACTCTTGTCATGGATGTCTTCAAGACTGGCTACTACTCCAGTTTCTTTGAGTGCCAGTCAGCCATCAAGATCCTGCACCCCCTCATCCAGGCTGTGTTTGTCATTGTCCAGGTGGGTGGCAGGAGTGTCCCTGGATGTGGTGGAAAGGAGCCAATGCTTGGCAAGTGTCAGGACTCCTGGGTTCCAACTGCCCCTAACTTCCACCCTGAGCAATTGAGTAAATGGAATAGGACTGTAGCCGAGATCATGAGTCCAGGCATGTGGATGCACTGTGTAATGAGGTAATATCTAAATGTGAGCTCCTACTTAGGAGTGCTGCAACTTTATTTTAACCTAAATAGTGCCAATTGTTAACACCTAAGAGGTGTGAGTAGAGACACCAGCCCTATCTGCTAGAACCTGGCCTGCCCTCCTTGGGTGCCCATAGAGGGCATCCATCTCAGTGTAGCCAGTTTTTTTTTGGGGGGGGGCACATAGCTGCTATGTTGGGTATTTGCTCAGGAGGTGGGGCATCCTATAACTGGATTTTTCAGACAAGTTCAATTTCTCTCTTTTTTCAATTAATTTTTAAATTTGTTACACAAACACCATTTTGAAAGATATGATTGAGTTGAGGCAGGAAGTTTTACACAGGACCAGAAGACAGCGTGCCTGCAACATGACCCTAATGATCACATGGATGGTGCCCTCCCCTGTGGCACCACCTCTGCCACCCAGGTTTCCACAGTTTAACATATTTATGTAGTTGTAGCTTAGCTGGCCTCACTTCCAGAAATAAATAATTAGGTAGTGAAAATCTATTTGCCTCTCCATCACTGCCCCCCACCACCAACAACAACAAAAAATCAAAACCAGAGATAAACTTTCAAAGAACAGAAACTACTACCTGTATACAAAACTTACCATAGAGTAGAAAGAAAATATTTCCAGTTTTTTGTAAATCTAAAATAAACCTGATAAGTTAGTGTAAGGCTCCTGGGGTAGAGAACAATACTGGACATGGGAGCCTGGATTTAGCCCATCTGCAGAGCAATGACCCTCCCTCCTCTCTCAATACAGACTTACTTCCTCTGGGTCTCTGCTAAAGACTGCATTCATGTCCACCTGGATCTGACTCGGTGAGAACCGCAGCTCGATGCCTGCCCGGAGTGCTCACCTGGCGTGAGAGATGAGGGCTTTCCAGCCTGGGCGTGGCTCCTCCCTCTGCTCAGCCAAGGGCCCCCACTGCGTCAGCCTGGTTTCTGCTACTCTGTGCTGTGGGCTTTCCCCTGGGGGGTGGGGAGCAGGGGGCCTAAGACACCCTTGGCCTTCCCTTGGTTGGCATCCAAGCCAGGCTAAGCGTGGCTTTCAAACTCAGCTTCCCCGTTCACAGGGACCTGGCTGTACCTTCATTTCTCAACACCACCTCTCAGGAGAGCTTCCCAACCCTCCACTTTGCCAGGGACCCAAGATGAACCACATATTCACCAGCCTCTTTGCTTCCCCTCCAATCCCCAAACAGGTGTGGGCTCATGTTCACTCTTACCACCAACCTGGCCATCTGGATGGCAGCCGTGGTGGACGAGTCTGTGCACCAGGCTCACTCCTACAGCAGTGCTCACGGCAACAGCAACACCAGCCACGCCCGCCTCACCCCTGACCGTGAGTTCCCCTTTACCCCACCCCAAGGCCTCTTTACCCCACCCGAGGCTAGGTGCTTTGTGGATCTGTAGTCAATCAACCAAGCCCTCACAGGGCCTGGAGACAAAGGTGAAAGCCAGGGCCTCCTCTGGCTCCTAGGTGTTGTGGGTATAGGCGACAAGGAGGAGGAGTATGGAAGGCATCTCATTCTTGAGGATGCAGCCTTGTCCCCTTTACCAGGTCCCACGCCACCCAGAAGAAAGGGCAAGGATCATCAAACTGGGGAGAGAGGGGAAGGGGGAAAGAGTGGTTCTGGGAACCTGAGATCAGAGGGGAAAGCCTGGGAAGGAGGTGGAGGTGAGAAATAACCATCCTGTCACAATGACACAGTGACAATTTCCTGAGCTCTCTATATCCTACACAGTGCTAAGTGTCTGAAACACTCTATTTAATCCTCACAACTTCCCGTGGAGTTGGGAACTACTAATATTCCTCCAGGTGCAGAAACGAAGGCATAGAGAAGTTAAATAGATGCCCAAGGTCACAGAATCTGAAACTGGGGCACAAGTGCTCAGAGCCATCTTTACTTTTAACCAGTGTGCTACCTAAGTAAGAACAGGGCCCACAGTCCCTGGGTCTTGGTTCTCTGGGCTTCTTTAGGTCCTCCCACTAGCTAGGACCAGACTAGAGACTAATGCCTGTGCACACTCCCATGGGGGGTCCAGAAACAGAGAGTGGTCCCAGCCCCCAGGGAGGCCCCAGCCTGCAGGACTGATAAAGGGCCACCCAGCATATCCACAGGATCCTGAGAGTAGTTAAAACCAGCCCATGGGGGTGGTCAATTTAACGTGTTGATCTGTGGGGTGGGAGAGGCCCTGTGTTGGAAGTCAGATAGTTTGTTCCAGCTCTCCCTAATATGACAAGTCACTTGAACTCATTGACTCTCAGCTTCTTTACCTGCAAAATCCAGCTGGGAGGATTCTGGGATCCAAAAGAGATGTT